AGGAAACTCTCTCGCCACTTGTTGCCGTGTTCTATGCTTGTTGAAACATTCATCTTTCATAGCAGTTAAGGTCTGCAAATTCTTGTTAGCTTGCTTCTCAACGGACTTGCGATTCCTTTCAAGACTCAACGTAGTCACCATTTGCGTGATGTTATGAAGGGTTTCATTGATCCCCTCGATTCATTATTCGAGTTTGTCGAGCCTCCATTGGTCGTTGACGGTTCGACTGCTACCATGACCATCGTTGACCATCAGATTGAGATGAGTTCCTTGCTCTAATACCAATTTTGATGCGGAAACATTTATGAAATTCTTATAATAAGAATTATATTAAAATAATCTTGTTTTNAGGAAACTCTCTCGCCACTTGTTGCCGTGTTCTATGCTTGTTGAAACATTCATCTTTCATAGCAGTTAAGGTCTGCAAATTCTTGTTAGCTTGCTTCTCAACGGACTTGCGATTCCTTTCAAGACTCAACGTAGTCACCATCTGCGTGATGTTATGAAGGGTTTCATTGATCCCCTCGATTCATTATTCGAGTTTGTCGAGCCTCCATTCGTCGTTGACGGTTCGACTGCTACCATGACCATCGTTGACCATCAGATTGAGATGAGTTCCTTGCTTTAATACCAATTTTGATGCGGAAACATTTATGAAATTCTTATAATAAGAATTATATTAAAATAATCTTGTTTTGTATTGATATATGATTGGTTGATTAAAAAGTGTACAATACCCCAATATTTATAGGCAAAATTATCTCTAATCTTATTAATAAAAAGAAACTAAAATAAGGAAACTAATAAAATCCTAATCTAATTAAAAATCATATTCTAATCAATAAATAAAAGAAATCCTATTATAAACAAGAATAAGAATAAAAAGAAAAAACCTATTAGAACTAGAAAAGATAAATCACAATTGTAGCAGGAAACTACTAATCATGATTATGTACTACATCAGTTATTCTATTGAATACGCACGAGGTGTTTCAAGACCTTAAATTTTGTATCGTTCGACAAGAAACAAACTAATGTAGGAATATACTTGAAATGATATGGACTGATGAATTGAGTTTGGAGTAGATTTTCGAGCTCGGGTCGCATAATATGGATTGCATTAATGTATGAGTTAATACTTTTAAATAAAGTGACGACAATACTTACATCACAAATATGCTACAAATTCTGTTGCTTATTTCAACCATGCATGACGATATAAGATGTTGTTACATGAGACCCTCTACATTCACACAGGCCGCCTACCATTATGAGGCCGTCGACCCTCATGAGAGGGAGATGTAAGTGTGTCCGACGGACCCACCATGCAGTCAATGCTATACTTAATCATACAAATAGTAATGAGTTGGATGGAAACCACCGAACATCGAATATGGGCATAACCAACCACTTGACGAGTGGGGATCACCACGTGAAGGCTTACGTGGGACATGTGGATGATTAATCGTAGACCGGGTATGTTTCATCGGGTGCTTATAAATATCCCAAATGTGAAAAAAAAATGTATTTTCTTAGAACTCGTACTGCTTGAAATTCAATTATACTATCTTCCTACTCTCTTAAACCGAATATTAATTCTCACGCCGGAGGTACAATAGAGGAGAAAGCCCCGACCTTATTTTCCAGGTAGCATACACTAATCGGTTCAGCTGGAACAACATCCTCGTCAAGGAGAATACCGAAATTTATCTCACTACAATTTCACATGACTAAATTTTCATAATTATATTAGCTATCGCTTCTAAGGAATATTCCATGATGAAAAAAAATTTATTACAAGAAACTAAGGGTGCGATTGATTGCAAGGGTGGAAAATGGGTGGAAAGAAAATGTTTTACAGGGAAAATGTTTGTTTAGAAAATGTTTTGCATGAAAAACGATTTCAAGTGTGTTTGTTTGGTATAATTTTCCACGTGGAAAATTTTTAAATTTTCTATTCGTTTGGCTTTGTTTTACATGGAAATTGTCCATTAAAGTGATATTTTTTTCCACAATTAGTTATAAAATTTGTTTCCATTGCCAAAAAGTAAAAAAAAAAAAAAAGGAA